TAACATACATTTTTACTAGAGTATAAAACATTTTTTCTGAATTACACGAACATTCTTTTTAAATTTTAGAAACATTTTTTTAAAATGGAAGACACATCTGTTTTTAAATTAAATTTAAATTTTGGAATGTATGCATTTTGAATTTTTAAGAAAATATGAACAAAAAACCCCAACGAAAGAACGAACGAGAAACCATAGAAGAAGAATGAACTAACGTGTAGGAAGGCGATCTCACTAGAAGTGAGACATATCCTCTTCCAAACTAGTATGCATATTTTAGCCGTCTAGTTATATAATAAAGTAAATTAGGGCCGTCTGCTTTGAGACTCACCTCAACATATTTTTGTACTAAAAATCATCTCAACAGATTTTGGTGCATTGCATTGCATTCAATTTTTACATGCTTCATGATTAAATTTTGACGGGATTCATAATTAGAAAAATCATTAAAATTTCCAATTTTTTAAAATATTAATTTGGCAGAAAAACAAGATTGAAAACATTTCAAATGTTTGATTTAAATTTTCAACGTAGTACATAGATTAATTAATTTAAAATAAATTTTCAAGAATTCAAATGTGTTTCAGTCATGATTCAACAAAATCAAATGCATTTTAGTAATGCTTTATGAAAACTATATTGAATCAAGCATATTTCATAACTATTGCAGGAAAAATGAATTATACATCCATTGATCACCATTTCACGTAAAATTATGAAAAAAATTAAAGTATCCCGGAGAAATTTGAATGGAATTTGAGATCCACTCCACACATATGTTCACAAATTCTTAATTGTTGCATAACCAGTTCACATGTCTTTCTGAAATTTTACAACATTTCACAACAAAAATGCAGCTTGCTCGACAAACATTGCACATAATTAATTTAATATGCGCACTGAAAAGAGTTCAACTAATTTTAGAGTTATGTTAACGATTTTTCCCAACAAACTTGCATCCAAATCACGGCCAAAAGGATGGAGAGAATTAAACGTGTAGCTCGACATATTTAGATTCAGGCTGCCATGTGTAGTTTGGAGCTTCTCTATATGATGACTGCATTCCTTTGAATCTTGTAACATAAGTCGAGCCAGTTTCTTCAGAAGAATTGACAAGCGGAAATGTTACATGGGAAAGTGTAGTACAAATAAGGAAATTAGATATTTTTTATTGAAATTTGCATGTGTACATGTATCAATATAAAAAACATTTTTTCTAAAGCACACCTAAATGTGCCCTACGTTTTCTTTTTTGAAACGAGGCAAAAGACTTGCCATTTTCATTGATTAAGAAGAAGAGAATTGCCCGGTTAATTGATGGAAAAACAGGGTAAAACCGATACAACACAACCCACATGACATGGGCACCACCGGCCAATCTGGCCACCGACATGGAACAAAATCCACGATGGCACATGCCAACGAATGGCCACACGCGCAAGCAACCGCCATCTCCGACTTCGACGACGAGCAACAGAAGGGAAATATGCAGGACTTGCGCCGACCGTGCCCCCCGCAAATGACCACCGAGTGTCTGTCATCGTCACCACCTAGACTCACTCCAACGCAGCTCCGACTTCAAAGCAACCAAGCAACCACAGAAGAGCACCTCGGACACGCCGGGAAGAACCGACTACCGAAGACCACACCACGACCCAAGATCCTCTCGACGCCATCATCATTGCCAAATAGAAACCAGCGCCCCACCTCAGCAAACCACGCGGCGAAGATGCTGCTATCGACGGCGAAGATGCCATCATCCACCAGTCTCTCAGTCGTTGCCGGCTCCGAGACGATGCCCCCAAGGAGGAGAAAGACGCGACGCCTCCATCGCCCGATCCAGCAGATCTGAGATTTCCCTCCGGAGCCAAAACCATGGGTAGGAGGAGCACCTCCAGGACGACGCTTCCAAGAAAGATCGCCGCACCCACAGGCGCCGCCGTTGTCGGCTCCGGTGAAGACCGGAGCAAGGATTTCTCCCGGAGATGTGCCGACCACCTGCCACCACCGATCGCCGCCCACTAACTACCACCTCTGCAGAGACCGACCTCACTCTGGCCACGGGAAACCACGATCCACCGCGGCCAGACACGCACCACCCCCTGGCCGAAGTCGCCACCACCGAACCCGGGGCCGCCGCCCCGGCAACACCGTCAGCCACCATCTTGGACTAGCGTCGTCCACGAGTCCCCACAACCGGAAACTCAGTCAGGAGACGAGCTACAGCGACGACGCCCTCAACAGGGCCACGACGCCCGTGACCGCCGCCATCGTCACCCCGATCGCAGTCAGTCATGGTTTTCACCAGCAGCCGCACCCCACGACCAAAGACCGGCTGGACCAGCCGGCATACCACGGCCACTGCTTCGCCCGCGTGAACACCATAGTCGTCGTCACCCCAACACCGTCCCAGGGCCGCCGCCCCGAGATCAAGCCTCCACCGCTCGTCGAGCGGCGCCTGACTGAGCACCAAATCCAGCCGAGCCGAGCACGCCCAGCCACGGCCAACCACCACCCTCCCGCAACATCACCGCCTGGAGCAGCGCCGCCCTCGCTCTCAAGAACGGCGACCGAGGGGTCCCGCCACCGCCGCGCCGCCAGGGCTTTTCCCGGTGATGCCTACGGCGGCAGCGAGAGGAGAGGGTTGCACATCTAATTCGTATGTCATTGATTTTACCCGGAGATTCGTGCGGATTTTTTTCCTTTTTATGCTTCATTGAGTCACTTAGATGTGCAATAACTTGTGCAAATCTAGATGTGCCTTAGACATAAGAAATTGCACAGATGGATAAGTTTCGTATGAACCACCCAACAACTACTTTTTAAAAGCCTCTTTGGAACGCGGATGGCGTTGCGGGGGTACATGCTCGCCAAGATCTCCTGCCATATATGCTTGTGAGGAGGGATCCAGGGCATGTTACTCTATGCAAGAACATGACCACTATGGTGTCTTGGTTTTAAAAATACAATTTGAGTGGCATCACAACATTTAGTACGCATTTTTTCTCCAAGAATTGCTTCATTTTTACCACATTATTTGTTTTATCTGTTATTTTTGACTTACTTTATTCTCTTGAGTGTTACAGAAGAGGTGTCTTTGCAGAGCTTAATAACAATTTATTTGGTTGGAGCACACTGATACTGCATTGAAAATGATCGAGCAGCCAAGCAGGTAAAGGGCCAGTTCTTTTGCTAGCTTTTTTGGGCTTCCAGAATAAGCTGCCCCATACCCAGCTTATTCTAGACGCCCAACCAAAATTTTCTTTTTAAAAGCCTACTAGTCAAGTCTTAACTACTAGGCTTCTAAAAAAATAAGTTTGGTTCAGCTTCTAGAATAAGCTAGGTATGGGGCAGCTTATTACAACTTATTCTGGAAGCCACTAAAAGAACTGGCCCAAACAGTTCCACGTCGTGCCATGTTGTTATCAGAGTATTTGTCGTGCCATGTTGTTATCAAAGTATTTGACGCCATTTATTACCTTAATCCCATCATATGACAGTCTTATTTTCTGGTCATGAAACGAGAGATTGTTCTGCTTATACATGATATTTTGCAGGCCTTGCAATTTTTATTGACATGTTTTGTGAGTCCGTTATAAGTAGTTGCAATTTCACTGACATATTCTAAAGATATTTGGATTGCCCTCTTGCTGCCTCTTGATTTTATATGTTTAGATTAATTTCCACCCATCATCTTAAAGCAATTTCTCTTGTGCTAAATTAATCCCAAATAAATGTCACCAATGTGTAAAACAAAACAATCTGATTATCTTCTTTTAAGTTTCTTCTGATTATGATTGTTATCCCCATTTCTAAACTTTTGACACTCTGCCCTATTACATGTACAGTGGAAAACTTCTCTTTTTGATTGAATCTGGATCTAAAGAAGCATAAGCATGTCCAGGAACTGGTGGTCCACCTTGCTGCTGCAAATGGACAGCTCGATTTTATCCATGTGTTGGACTAGATGATATATGATGATATGAACATTGCACCGGTAGGGTTTCAACAATGCCTGAAAATATTTAGTGGGGCATTTGTTTCAAACAAATTTGTTGAAAGATATTCCTAATATTTTAGTGCGTGGGATATATAATGCTTTAATATTGTGTGCTCGATTGTTATTGTAGTTAAGAAATATTAAATTTTTAGAAAATGTACATCAAATAATATAGTACTCTCTTGCTCAAAATATAAGTCAATTTTTGGTCTAGATTAAGCACAAAAAAGTTCTACATTTTAAGACAGGGGAAGTAGTTATTAACATTTATACTGGTTACTAATATTTATATTTGTCAAGACGCGCGTTGCACGTGTATTTTTACTAGTAGGCAAAACACAAGAAACCGCCGGGGTAGTCGTTTGAATGGAACACGGGAAAGGCTCCCTCGATCCTGTGCGACCAAGTTTTAAAAAGATGTTGTGTTGGATGCTCACATTCCTATGGGACTGAGGCATATGAATCCAATCCGCATGATTTGAGTGCCACCATTCTTTGGAATTAAGGCAACCCTTAAGAATAATCTAAAAAAAAGAATAATCTCAAAGTATTAGATTCCTGCAAAAATCGTACTGAAATTCCTACAATTTAATTAGGATCAAGCCCTTTTTTTTGCGAATCGATCTAACACAAGCTGTTCTCTCTAATAACTATTCCAATCGATGAGGCTGCTTTCCGCTGTCAAAGAAAACTAAAACTGAATAAAATTGAGTTTGCAGGATCTGTTGTCTGTGTTTCAACAGTAAGGCTTAACATAGGAGTACAAAGACCTAGCTCAGCAAAACAAAAGGAAAACGTACATTAGTTGACTGTGTGAGCACCAAGCGCTGCACGAAGCAACTTACAAGACGAAGATACATCGTCCAGATGCAGAGATCGGGGATATATCCTCCTTTTCTAAAAAAGAAAAAAACAAGACGAAGATACAGACGACCAAGACAACAAGAAGAATGGTTACTACCACTACATCTAGCACTGAATGCACCAGCTACAACCTCTGTCAGAGTGCGCGCGGTGGAGCACCCGGAGCGCTCCGGTTGGCGTCCTTGAGGGAGAGGACGGCCCTGAGGATGGGTATGAGCAAGCCAAAGGCCGACCCAGAAGTGAGGAGGTACTTGAGGTTGTTGTAAACGAACTTGTGCAGGGTGATCCTCACCATGCGGTCCTGCTGGTAATTGCTGAGCCGCTGCAGGACGCGATCATACTGTCCTCCCTTCCGTAGGTACGGGCAGACGGACTTGAAGAAGCCGAGCGTCTCCTGATCACTGAACACCGGGTACAGTATGTGCTTGGCGCGCAGCTCCCGGACGTCGTCCTCGCGGTTCATCAGCACCGCCATGATCTGCATGTACGAGCTCGCGCCGTAGTCCGCGTCCGACGTGCCCCCCTGCAGCATCTCGAACGCCGCCATGTTGATCAGCAGCGACATGGTCAGCTCGCTGAGGTACACGGGCGGGAGCCAGAGGTTGCCGAAGAGGGGGTTCTTCTTCCCCACGGCCATGTCGGAGAGGCGGGCCGTCTTCCCCGCGGTGATGTGGACGCCGACCTCGGCGAGCTCCAGGGCCGAGGAGATGTTGAGGATCGGCCGCGGGGCCTCGGCCTCGTGGGCGACGGCCACCATTCGGCTCCGGAAGGGGCCGATCTGGCGGTGCCGAACAAGGTCGAGGAGGTGGAACGGCTGGTACTTGTCGGCTCCCTCGCAGTCCACCTGCGGCTTCGCTCCCTTCACGTCGAAGTTGCTGATGGTGTCGGCGATGTAGCGGTCGACGAGGACGTGCTTGAGGCGCATCAGGGCCTCCAGCACCACCCAGGGGATCTGGTTCTCCACCAGGAGGATGTCGCGCGAGATGCGCTGCATCCAGTTCTCGCTCAGCTGCGGCATCTTCCAGAGTTTCTGCGGGCCACGGTCGAGCGCCACCATGGTCATGAACTGCAGGAGGAAGCAGCCGTCGAAGAAGAGCATCGCCGTGAAGTCGTTGTCGTTCATGCCGACGTCGTGGGCATAAAATTCCCGAGCTTGCTCGGCCACCTCCTGAACATTGAGATAGAAATCCCGGACCTGGTGAGCGGTGGAGCTGCAGCAGAACTCGTTGGCTGCCATCTTCTTGATCTCTTCCATGCTTTGCAGACGCGGCTCGTCGCGGTGGTATGGGCCGATGGCGATGATGTCCGGCGAGAAGAGCCGCTCCACGTTTTTGATGCTGCGGAGGAACGCCGGGACCACCTGGATAATCGGCTTGCCTCCGCTGATGAAGCTGCGATCTATTTTCCTATGAGGATCAGTGGTAGATTGCAAGCTATGCAGTACGCTATCCAATCCAGTGTCGTTGCGGGACACCATCTCCCTCGTTGGACAAGATCGCACCCCTCTCTCTCACCGGCTAGCTACTGGACTAGTATCCGCCCTCTTCTATTCTTCCCCTTCCCGCCTTTCAAAGCATCACGCAAGTGTTCACTTGCTGCCTCGCACTAACTTATTTATTTCAACATGTAAACATGTAACAGCATCATACAATTATGGATGGAATAATAGCATCTACTACCTCTGTTTGTTTTTATAAGACGTTTTAGACTTTCAGACACTGTTCAAAAACAGCACAAAGCAAGTTGTCTGAACGCCTTATAAAAACAAACGGAGGGAGTACAACCGAAGCCCTGAAATCCGTCCCAAAACGTCCAGACAGGCTGCCTGGCCAGTGACCGGACGCAAAAACGGCACCTAACCGGGCGCCCCATATATATCCGGCCCAGACGACTCGACTGACCGGCAACCTAATGTCCAAGCCATATTTGGGGCAGATATGGGCACGCTTGGATGCTTGCTGACCACAACGGAGTTTGACGCGCGGCGCTTCTGACGGAAGAACACGAAGGCACTCCGGATCAGGCTCGAGGCGTCCAAGCACCTCGCGAGGGAGAAGGAGTCCGCCCAGGAAAAGGTGGCCCACCACGCGAAGGAGCAGCGACACCTCCTCCTCCGCCTCTCCGACTACATCTACTCGTCGTCGGAGAGCGGTACCAGCACGGGCGACGACAACAATCCTCCCGCTGCAGACGCCTACATGGAGTTGATGGACCACTGCCCCGCCGACCTCAAGGGTATGGCCTGCCCAAGAAGTGGTGAACTCCGGCCGGCACCCTAGCTATGTTAATATTTTAGTTGTTTTAACTTCGTTTTAGGTTGAATTTGAACTTCGCCGACCCTTTTGGATGAACTAAATGCATGTTCGATGTCCGAATTGCATAATTTTCATGATATTTCCATTATCTAAGTAGGATGCATGTGCTTGTATGAAATAGAGTATCCACTTTGAGGGTTTGTGGTTGTGGAGGAGGCAAATGACCTTATGCCCGGGCACTGCCAGCGGACACGACGGAACACGCCCGCGGGCGTATAAGGCAACAAATAGCTCATTACGGTTTTAGATGCTCTAAGGCCCACCTCAACACGCCATCATGCACGGGAAAAAATTCACCACCACATGCAATCATGCATGGAAAACTATTTTTCGTTCTATTCTCTTACTTATATTCAATAAATACTTAAAACTATACATAATCAAATATAATAAGTCATAAATATTTTTACATTTAGTTCATGTGTTATTAGTTTAATTATTTATATTTCACATAATTAAATCTCATTGGAATATATTGTAACCGATTCCCGCAAAAATGCGCTGGGCATCATCTAGTTAAATATATAATCTAGTACTCCCCTTCCAACTTTTAGAGCAAAAATATAGGTCCTGTGTCAATCTAACTTGTCAATTTTACCAATGAAATGCGAGTTATATGCCACATATTACTAAATTGGTAAATGTAGTGGTAATTATCCTATCATATCAAGATTTAGTTGATCCCCACCATTTTTATTTTTTAAAATACTAGATAATTGCACGTGTGTTGCAATAGGATATAAATATTTAGTACGCCAGTCCATGATTTAGCTGTACATATTTCAGACAGATGCATAAAAAATGCCTTGCCCTTTAATAAAGTAGAAGATATTAATTTTCGTAAAACCGGGCTAAAATAGTCACAAACTGTAGAGAGGCAGACACATTATATCTAAAACACCTCAATAAAGAGAGCCTCATCAAGAAAAACTCCAACGTTATCGTGATAACTTCTCTCCAACAAACGTAATGGTTCTCCCTAATCTCCGAGCAAGGGGCTCCAACTTCGTCGAAGATGAGCGTCGATCCAACTCATACTGTAGAGGTCGTGTGGAAACACTAGAACACCCCGCCAAACTCATCCATCTACACCAAGGGCAGCGCATCTCCGACTCTGGAGGAGAGCTTTGAAGACAGGGTCCACCACCGCTGTAACAAAACAATCCAAGGTAATTCCACGGACATACGGGAGAACAGCCCGCTACTGCAACCAGTTGCGTTTGCAAAGAAAGAGTGTTTAATCAACGCGGTAAATGTCCTCTCTTTTTGCCCGTTATTTCGGTCAGAATCCACCTCACCCATGCAATTATAATCAAGTCAAAATCTGGACAACAGGGAACGTTGGACAACAGCAGCACCCCTATGATGCCTTTCAGCTAAGCTACGTAAAATGGACCATCTATGCCCTGTCTTTTCCAGAGTACTCCACTTTGTTACAAAGTCCAGACGGCCACGTCTGGCCGCCGAATAGTCCACGTACCTCGCAAATGACATTTTTGTGCCGAACCACAATTGCTGTCTGGTACTGTTAGAACATTTTGTACGCTGCGAGCAAGAACTGTGCGATGAATCCGCCGTTTGGGGCCTGCGTTGCTCTCCCGTCGCGTCGCGCTTGCAGACGAGAAGAATCGGACAAGAGAGAAGTCGAGGGATAGGAAGAGCCATTGGATGGCCAAATGGCCATGCAGGAAAACAGGTCCACGACAGACACGAGGCGATTGCCATGTCGTGATCGACCGCCTAGCGCCGGCCTCCTGCTTCGTCCTTTCTGGTGTCGCGTCTCCCGCGTAATCCAGTGAGAGAAAATAAGCTTGGCGACACTGCCTAGTTGTTCTGTAGGTGATGACTAATTGCTAGATGTGACATCCCGGCTCAGAGAAACCGGAACGTCCCGTATTCCAGCCCAGAGATTAAGGAGAAGTCGTTTGAAATACAACACTGCTTAGTATAAAACAAATCAGCTCTTTAATACAATCTATATGGATACAAGGGGATTACATCGGCACGGCGACACTACGTCTGCCACGGTTGCTCCATGCAAGCAGCAGAACAACACGAGGCAGCGGAATAACTCTAGCAATGGAACAGCGACGACGGTGATGAACTCCACCCCGCAGGGACTCTGACTGGAACACTTATCCTAGCTCGCAAACAAGGGATCAAGCAATCAAATCCAGCATGACCTGCAAACTGGTATGACACGCCAGGTCAGTACATTGAATGTAATTGCAAACTCACAGCAACCAAGAGCAATCAGGACAGACAACAACATCGCAATTATAGGTTAACAAGGATTAACATGATACTATCAGATCAATCATAGTATGGATAAGATGAACATGATACAGCTAGAACAATACGAGCATGGTATGAACATATGAACATGATGATACTAGCAAGCAACATGATGACACTATCATGCACCAAATTACTCTGCTTGGGTTACCTCGTAACCATCATATGCGCAAACTTACCATCACGGACATCACATGATCATCTCAGCATTCAATCAAGTTTGGTATTAACAATACCGTAGCAATCCAACAACTCGAAGTAAGACCACAAGGAGCTTGACATTTACCCTTGACTCTCGCATAAGACCACAAACATCCAACAACTCGGTATCCTCGATACCACGGTGATCCTCTCACGATCACATAAAGACCAACCAACTTCGGTATCCACGATACCTCCGTGATCCTCTCTTGATCACAACAAACCTATTTCTCATCATCGAACCAGGGTTGTTATTAATCAAGTTATTATTATTACTGTTGACTCATAGTGTGACCGACTACGAACTGGGCCCATATCCACCGGCGCGACTATCATACATTTAATACACACTCTGCAGAGGTTAGTACACTGTATCTACACCATGGAACCCATGGCCTCGCACTCCCACTCTGGTGGACCAATGTCATTCTGACAAAACCGATGTATTGCCATCACACTCTCCCAGCCACTTCAACAAATCCCCTTTGTGCTAAGTCCTAGGTGGCCCCGATGTCAACCAATGACATCCAACGGCCACCGTCGTGGCAAAACAATCAACAGTCTCAAACGGGGACAAGTGCACATAGCCAAACTCGGGCTCACAAGGCTTATGTCCACCTACCTGGCCGAGGTAGCGCGCGCCCATAACCTTCCCTCGTTGGAGGCACCGGCAGGAGGCATGACAATAGACCCAGTTAGGACCTCCATAAGGCAGTGTGGATGCACTGGTCATCTCGATTTGGTGGCACCATGACTCAGCCAACAGTTGTTCAAGTTTAATTATTTTCCGGTTAGACTTTAATGCAATAAGCTGAGCCAACATGATGAAACTATAATGCATGATATCAACATATGCATGGGGGTGCAACATAGTCATCAAGCATCTCAACAACAATAAATCATATATCCGAATGAGCATGGCATACGGACGAGCATGAATATCACAAGTATAACACTACTCATAGCATAACATGACCACTAGCATCAACAATAAATACCAAGCAAGAACATATTAATAATGCTACCACGTAAGCAGGTAACCAACTAGATGCAACAGAACATGCATAACAACAATACTGGATAACAACCGATAAGCATGCATCCGAACGAACATCACTACTACCAGCATGTACTACTACCAAGCATGACATATGAAAGTAATACTAGCAAGAATACATGATAACCAGGTGCATCCAAACAGGTCATGAAGATGAACATGAAACTATAAACATTATCGAAACACCGATAACAGTAGAAAACCAAATCGACAGTTATTAAATGGTCAAGTAGAAAACCATGGCTACTGCATGCAATCATGCAAGTGGTTGTCATGGTTTGCCTGGACATGAAGAATTCACCAGGGAGAAGTGCGGAAAGCTCACGGAAGGAATCGCTGGAAAGGGTTCTCCCTTGGAGGGGGCTGATTAGGGGCAAGGGCAATAAG